CAGTGATGATATTGGTTGGAACTTTGCGATAATGGCTACCAATAGACATGATGCAGTATGTATATTTTGTAAAAAAATCATTAAAGGTGGTATTACACGAGTGAAAGAACATTTGGCTGGAAAAAGAGGCAATGTAACATCGTGCCCAGACGTGCCACGAGAAGTTAGAGAATAGATGATGAAACATTTTAAAGAAAGTAAAGATTAAAAAAAAAGATAAACAAAAGAGGAAGGAAGAATTGGAATTCCATCTGAAGGAGGCAATGGTTGGGGATATGTGGACTTGTGTGATGATTCAGATTCTGTGACACAATATCAATTTGAAGAAAATCACAGACGTAGAAGTGTACATGTGCCACAGTATAACGTAGGAGGTAACTCCGGAGATAGGGGTAATTTTAGAGGTAAAGATGGAGATAGGTTAAGACGATCTCATTCAGTTCGTGAGCAGGATGTTGATGGTAGTGCTCGGCATTGGATTAATTATGATACTCCTAAAGCTAGATTAAGGGAGATGGATCCTGATCTTCTGAGAAATAAAAGTTCTAAGCAACCAAAGATAAATTCAAATCACCAAAAGATTAGAAGGGAAAGGTTAGGAGATATGTTTTCTAAATTCATGTTATATAACCATTTGCCTTTTCATGTAGCAGACTCTCCTTGGACTCAACCAATGCTTGATGTTGCTGCTGAAGTAGGAAAAAGGGTTAAAGGTCCGAATTCTTATGAGGTGTCTGAGATATATTTGAATAAAGAAGCTAATGCAATGAAGGAGTGGATTAAGTCCTTTCGACCAACATGGAAAAAGAGGGGAGTTACTATCATGTGTGATGGATGGACTGGTCAAACACGAGATCACATCATCAACTTCTTGATATATTATAATAAAGGTACAATTTTTCATAAGTTTGTTGATACATCTAATGTAGCAAGTAGGACTTCAGATTATTATTTTCGTTTATTAGATATGGTTGTTGAAGAGATTGGACAAGAATATGTTGTCCAGATAGTGACTGACAATGAAGCAGCTCTTAAGGCTGTCGGAAAGAAGTTGATGGAGAAAAGACCATATTTGTATTGGACAGCGTGTGCAGCACATTGTATTGATCTTATACTTGAGGACATTTCAAAAAAAAAATTTGTTGCAAAGGTTCTAGATGATGCAAAGTCTATCACAAGCTTCATTTACAATTATCCAAGGGTATACCATTTGATGAAAAAATATACAAATGGTAAAGAATTGTTACACCTTTCAATTACCAGATTTGCCACAAATTTCATTGCATTTGAGAGCATTATTAGGCAGAAAGATAACCTAAAGGCTCTGTTCACTTTTGATGACTATAAGGCAACTAGTTTTGGGAAGATGAAAACCGGCCCTCCTAGTGATGTAAAAAATTTGATTATGGGCAAAGACTTTTGGAAGAGAGGTAATGAAGTTCTGATTGTTCAAGAGTCATTGGTTAGGGTGTTAAGGTTAGTAGATGGAGATGAGAAACCTACAATGAATTTTATATATGAAGCAATGGATCGAGCAAAGTTGGCTATTAAAAAAGATCATCGATATTGGGTTGACTATTGGAAGATTATTGATCGTCGATAGTCTGTTCAGTTACATCATGATTTTCATGCTACCAGTAAGTATGGACTACAAAGTAATGTTTTTTATATAACTGTATGAAATTTGCATGTTATATGTGGATAATTAAGTAGTCATAATGAACTAAAAATTCATATTTATATATGAGTAGGCTATTTCTTGAATCCACAATTCCAGTATACTACTACCAGCTCTAGGGAGACGTTCCGAGAAACAATGGATGGAACGCAGAAAGTAATACAAAAATTGGAGCCGAATATTGAATGTCAAATTAAGGCAATAAATCAGGTATATAGTGCTTGTTTACTTACAATTTTATTTATTATTTGAATGACATGTTATCTAATTCACATTATTTCACAATTATAATGTATGTAGATATTTTTATTTCGGGATAAAGCAGAAACATTTGGATCAAATATTGCGTAAGCAGCAATTAACAAAACAAATCCTGGTAAGTTAAGTTACAATTTATAATATGTAGTCAATGCATATTTATTCATTTGTAAATTCATCAAAATTTATTTTATGCAGCTGAATGGTAGATTCTTTATGGCTCATGTGCTCCTGAGCTTCAAAGTATAGCAGTTAAGGTACTAAGTCAGACTACTTCATCTTCTGGTTGTGAGCGTAATTGGAGCACATGGAGTCTTATTCACACCAAGACGAGAAACAAGTTGAAATATGCTAAACTCCAAAAGCTTATTTTCATTCACTATAACATGAAATTGAAAATTAGGCATACTATGCGAAAGAACCAGCAAGAGATTGAGAATAGCTTTAATGTTATCAATTTGAATTACATATTTCATGAAGATGATCCCCTAAATCCATAATTAGAAGAAAGGGAAGAACCATTGATGCTCTTGGATAAGGAAACTCGTTCTTGGATGAATTCTTTTGGTGAAGATGATGATAATAAATGCATACCTCTTTTTGAGTCACTTGATAACCAAGACTCTGATTCTAGTCCTGCGCCAACTGAAAGCGATAATGCTGGTGGTAGTGACAATGATGATGATGGTGATTGTGGTGATGGTGATGATGATGATGATGATGATGGTGATTGTGGTGATGGTGATGATGATGATGATGATGATGGTGATGGGGGTCATCGGGTTGCTAGTCTAACCCAAATTTATGGTTATAATTTTGAGGATAACCTTCCAGCTCAGGGTGATACTAGTGGTCATTGTCATAATTCACCGTTTCGCGGGGATCATGGACTTAGTGCGGTTAGAATTGATCCAGAAGCTTATGGTCAAGAATCACGGCGTGGAAAAAAATCAAGCAGAAATACAAGAAATTGGAATGAATATGAAGATTCCTTGTCTAGTGTTATGCAGAGTTTGAGTGATCTCACCCTTAGTGATTCATCATATGGTAGTGGTAATGAAAACTACCACTCATCAGGCTATCCAGCTGGAAATTATAGGCCCTACCCTTATAGTTATTCTCCTCAACACTACCCTCCACCGTTACATCCCCAAGATAATTCTTTAGGGCTTTTGAACCCTAACAATTACTTGACATTGCATACATATGGAGAGCAACCACGACAAGATGGAGTTGAATTGGGAACATTTACTTATATGTTGCCCACAAGATGGAATGATGATAGTGGAGGTAATCAAGATCAATCTCAATCTCAATGTTTGGATCCTCCGCGTCGTTCTTTTTGGTGGTAAGATTGTTGAAAGGTAACACTATTTCTTTCTCTTTTTTATTGTATTGTACTATTCTAAAAATCATTTTGGTTCTATCCATATGTTTCATTTAATAAATTGTTAGATTTATAATTGTGCATTTCATATGTTCAATTGTTGCTAATGAAAATATCACTGTTGCATAGTGACTTAAGAAATATTATTAATACTTATGATATTTTATTATCATGTTTATGATACAATAAAATGCACTAAATCACTAAACACTTATATTTGCATGATTTTAAGTTGAAGTATGTAAATATTAATGTTTTATAGGAGGTTGTGAGTTGAAAAAAAAAATTCACACATTCGGTTTCCGTTACTGTTACGTAACGCCCGTTTCACCCCGCGTCAGTTACAACGTTACCGTTACCGTTACGGTGTCCGTTACCGTTATTCAGAACCATGATCGTGCATACCGGGTTGAGTGGCAAAGGAAGGGTGGCGATGAGTCCGTAGAGAGATCCACAGATCCATTCCTCGATTTTGGTAACCTTGTGACTTTGGAGTTTCAGTGCCGATAGAAATAGGAAGCATAACTTCCTTGGGGTGTGAGTACACTAAAAAGTTTATTTGATTGAGACATTGATATGTATACAAACCCGATGCAGTCATTAGGATTTTATTCCCCGATATGGCACAACTATGTTTTGGTATTGGGTACGTGACAATACCAGTTGCTTTTGAGTTATAAGTATATATGCTTAAATGATTTTTTACATCCCAATTATTGAAATGCTATGCTATTTCCAAACCTTGTTTGTTCTGAACCGATCAACTTATTGAACTGATTGACGCTCACCCTATATTAATTCACTTTTTCAGTATTTGGAAAGTGAAGCATTTGGCAGAATGTTTGAAAGAGAGCTTGGAGTATCTTTATGTTATTTGAACATGCTTCCATTTGAAAATGTACCGATTTAGAAAGATGCATGCTTAAAATTGTAAAATGATGTTCCTTTTGACACAATCTCATGTACTCACACACTTGCACGTTGAGTCAAGTGGAAATAGTACTATTTCGAGTTAAGGTCATTGCATAGCGTCCTCAGGTGATCCAGGATGTTATGAAAGTTTGGTATCGGAGCACATTATTTAATTTTGACGGTGTGGAAAATGCTTAACTTTGAGAATCGCATGGGCCTACCAAGTTTTTAGAAGCTCCAAAAGTATGTAACTAAGTTGATGTGCAGCGATTGGATACCAGAGCTTAATCAATTATTCAGGGTCGTGACAATTACTGCATTTCAAGGATATTAGCACTCTAATTTGCATGTGTTAGTTCAGGGATGACAGTTTGGTATAAGAACTATCGACTAACGTGTTCAAGGTAACCGGGGCGTTACATCTGCTATAGTTGTTGTTTGTTTTCTATCTCTAATTGCCTGGTGTCTCTTCTTGTGTTTCTCCTCAAACAAAGGCACACCGAATATCATGAATATGTCTATGGTCTTTGTAACTCTCTCTATTGCTACTACACCCTGGGTTCAAGCAACACTCCTCAAACAGTGATCTATCATCACCTATTTCTAAGAATGGTGAACAATGGCTTATTCACTTCAGTTTCTTCCCAGTAACTATAAGTAATTCACCAAGACATAAAAAATTCAAGGACATCCAAATCCATAGAGCTATGAAGCTGTGTACGCAAAAGAAGTACAAACTTGAAGATTATAAACAAAGCACTAGAACTACCTTTCTTCAGCACCACCAAAATTCCACTGACACAAGCCAACTGAAGAGGCAGTCAGAAGGGTTCTAATGCCAGAATGGATTGTTCCATGGGGTGAAAGAGATTGTAAGGTATGAATTGGGTTATCCGTCAACCCAGTCATCGATTCCACAGGTCTATCAGTTTGACGCATATCAAACTCCAAAAGCATGCCATTCTGCAAAATTTCTAGGTTTTAACATAAAAAATCATGCAAAACACCAGCTAGGCTCATCAAGATAACTGAAGATTCAAGAGATAGAACCTGTAATCCGGCATATATATATTGTGAACCGCTAGAATCCCATGAACATGACCAAGCAGCGGCCTACAAGTACAACACCACCTTAGGCAAACTTATTAATTCATGGAAAATTTAAAGAAACAAAATCTATTTATCCCATAGTAATACTACATAAGCAACAAGAAGAAGAAGAAGAAAAAGAAAAAGATACTTAGTAAAATCTAGACAAATAGGAAGTTACAGTTATCCACACTAAAAACTAGTACAATCAATTGCCTGTGATTGCAAATATGCTACATCTTTTATCAATATAACCAGCCCATTTTGCTTTCATGATTTCTTTTGCCTCATGAAATAGTCACATTTTCTTTTTCCTTGGTACAGTCACAAATTGAAGCGAAGATTTTTCAGAAACTTCACATATTTCTTTGATTAATGCTATTAGACCTATAAAATTGACCTAATTTAATGACATAATAATGTGTCAAGTGGTGTAGTTCCAATGAAAAAGTTTAAGAGTTACAGTCAGAACAACACTATCGAACCACATCACTGCCACATCGTTCAAATTAGGTCAGTTTTTTAAGTCCCAATAGCAATACTCTATTTCTTTAGGAGCTCACAAGATCCCGATACAGCTCATTCATAGCCCAATGCAGACAAGTAGTCTTGCTAACTATCCCGCAAAGTTCTAGTTATCCAACTATATTATTCCACATTGTTACATATGGTTGCAAGAAAGAAGAAGCATGAGAACCTTAATTTAATATCTATATCTTGCATGAAAGAAAAACTGTATCAATGAATGAATTGAATACTGACCGGTAAATCATAGGTAAGAATGGTATTGTTGCTATCCATACTGAAACAACAGAACAACAAAGTAAGATACTCGTCTAGAAAAGAAGAGAGAAGAGAGCGCAAAGAAAACGCTTCAAGGAACTCTTGGGGGTGAGAGAGGGCAGAGAGAGAACAGAAGCTCCACCTGAGAACTGACAATTTCTTCCCTAAGGAGGCGAAGAGAGCAAGTCTTCCATGAGGGGAGACATGCAAGTCCTTGACAGCTTTTGTGCTCACAGGAAGCTGAATGTCTTCCCTTTCATCTGGAGCTATCAAGCTCATCTGCAGAATCCATATGCACAAATACTTGAGTTTTAGTAAACCAAAAAAGCACACAATACCACTTTCACTTTGCCAATTTGTCATCAAAGGCATAAATATTTACCTTGGTAAGCACATGCTTTCCACCCATTCCAGAGAGCCTTCGAGCAATTACAAGAAGTTCACTGCAAGCATCCACATCAAAAAAACGAGCACCATCTACCTGGAACTCGTTCTGCAAAAATTACAGCTACTGGGTCAAAATTAAACAGGCAGCTGAATGATGGTTTTCAAACCACGAATAACATAGGCTCATGCAAATAAGAAATCATAAGAAAAAAAATTAAAATAACTTGAAAAACAACAATATGGAAAAACCCCACTAACCCATGGTTGGGGCTATAGTAATGAAATCAGAGATTCAGAGGTGTCGCACAGCTATCTCAAAGAGATCTTATCAGAAATGACACAGAACGTGACAATCATCCTTGTTAAACCTTTTCTTTCTATTTAGTGTTTGACAACAGACAACGACAGCTGACAATTGACAAATACCCAAGCTATATCATAGAATCACAGACACTGAGGTATCACCCGGATATCACAAGATCCTGTCAGAAATTAAAAAACGTACTCATTCTAGTGACTCCCCCGTTATCAAGCCATTTTTTTTTTTTTTTTTTGAAGATCAGACGGGAGAGGGAGCTTGAACCCTTGACCTCAAGAACACAAAGCTTTTATAAGGTAAGGAGTACCATTGGACCAAAAACCCATTGGTATTATCAGGCCATTCAAGTTGCTTGTTTCCTAAGAAATTTCACCATTGATTTAAATGGCTACAACCAACTTTTAAGACATCATAGAATGTCCAAGTTTGAATTCATGAGGCTTCGGCCAAAACTATAGACTCCAAACTTGAATCATTAGCACCCTAAGTCTTTTGTACCATGTTCCCAGCAACAACCTCCTCATCATTCAACTTTGGCTGGAGTAACCTGATTTTCTACTTGCTCAATTGATTCATCCATATATGAACCAAATCACACAAAGCCTCCCTTTATTTTAACAAAGAATTATGCTTGAATCTTTCTTCCTATCCTCACGACCACATCATCCACCATACAATACAGAAACCAAAACCTTTTCTCCCCATCTATCTGAGTAATGATAGAAACCCTTCTAGGTTTCAAACTATGGCAAAACGAATAAGAATCATGCCCATGCAAACCTATCAGGCTGAAAGAATTTGGTACAACACCCAGAGGAATTCTCCAAACCTCATGGACTGGCAGAACCTGATAAGAATTCCACACGACCTCTCATAAAATTAGGTCAGATACAGATTAACTGCATCAAGAATCTTCAAGACCCTAAAGTACCAAAAAAACAGAAAGCATTGCACATGCACTTTAAGGGGGAGAGGGCAAGACAAATGAAAATTTCTACAACATTTTTTTAAAAATTTCCCCACAAAACGAATCGAAAAAAAGAGCCGCAAATTTATCAAGTCCAAAGGGCCATATTGATTGGGATGTTAAGCTCACTGTGTTTCAACGGACAAATGCCAATAGATATGCTACTCAGAACAATGGCCTACCAATAGAACTTTGTAAATGAAAATACAGGAACATAAAGAAAATCCATTGTCCCGAGGCTGAGACCCGAAACTTTAAGGGGCCTCGATCCAACATTTTGCCCCTCGCGTTGTATCCCTTGTTTATATCCATGTTTCTTAGGCAGCAACAGGATGACCCATCATTCGACTATATGATGGCATGTAATCCATCTTATTTGGGCCATCGAACAACCAAAGACCTGTAAGTAAATCAAGTAAGAGCTGCCCAATTCATGAGAAGCTACCACAAACCTTGTACGAGTACAATGCTCCATAAAAACCTAAATAGGTTTACACATTGTTACAAGGCATAATTAGAGCTCCTTACCCTCGTGGGATTTGGTGCAAGCACCTTTGACCTTCCCAAATGAGAGAAATGTAAACCCCATGAAAATGACATTTGCCTAAACGTAGGGTCTCTTATGGATACCATACCCTTATTTCGATGAATAGGATACGCCCATCTTGCAAAGACCAAAATTGTGGAAAAATTCCATTATGAAGTGTTCTCAAATATGACTCCTCTCAGAAAAAGAGCCTACCAGGATGCTTCCACAAATTACATCAACCTCCCCACAGAACCATGCTATCTGCACTGCTCTCTCTCCCACCCATCCCCTCTTTTCTCACACTGGTTTGAGGGAACCAAGTTGAAAACTATACTCCTGCATTCTTTTGTCTGTTCCATACTTTCCCTTTGAACCCATGAGTATGTTACAATGAGGTATTTCCACCTAAAAAGTATGTCACCTTGAGATTTTTACCAAATTGAGTACACTATTGACATATTATGTATAATTACCTCTGCTATAGTATGATGAATAGCAATAGCCACAGTCATGTCCACAAAAAGTACTTTTACAATAGTGTAAAAAAATTACTCATGTAACATCATTCCAGCAAATAAGTCTTTGTAACCCTACTATAAACTAAGCTAGTTCCAAACCTTTTTATCCAAAAAACTTCAGGAATTCTAGTTGTCTATCCTGGAATAGAATCACCAAAATTATACAAAAGAAACAAATAATATAAATAGCTCAAATTTGAAGCCAGATTCCCAATTGACCAAGAAAAAATTCCACACCTGCAATGTGAAGCCACTTGAACATCGTTGCCTATCAAATTCGAAATAAAGGTTATGTCCTGTAAGTCATGAAGAACAATCAGAAGTTTCATTCCAAATTGGAAAACAAGACACATAAAAACAAGAAATCCACCAAGCAGAAATTCGTCACCAAAAGATTACCAAGAGTGGCTTGTCCTTGACAACCCGACTACTAGCCAAGGATCCTGATAGTTTGCTTTGCTGATCTCCTAATAGACCCTCCAAATAACAGGTCCTCTACAAGGGCACAAATTTACAATCAAAAAATTTGGTACTATATGAAAACAAGAATTGAGATACAGTACGCTTCCCATTAGTAAAGCTATCCGTTGAAATATGAAGTGCTATTCATAAGTTCCTCCAATCATACATGATATAAACAAACCCAAAAGTAAGTTCTATGCAATGATCAAAATTTCGTTTTGAAACAACCAAAGCTTTCCGTTTCTATAGAAACCGAATCGAATCGGTGGTTGAACATTCAAGTCAGTGTTATTTAAGGCGTAAAGCGAACCAAAGCGACCAAGGCTCCTAACGCCTAGGCAAGAAGCGAGAAAAGCGAAACGATTTACCGAAACGAAGCAAACAGGTAAAAAATATATATATATTTTAGTTTAATTACTTATACACATCTAAGTTCTAATTTTATACTATATACTAAATATTTAAATGCAAGGGACAACAATCAGCGAGATCAGAGCCTCCAACGTGTCTGTCGATGTGTAGGAACAGAATCAAAATCAAGAAAAAAAAAAAAGAAGCAAAATCTGTGCAGCAAGAAGAAGATCTAGAACCAAAAATGAGAAGAAAAAAAGAGAAATAGAAGAGAGGAAAAAAAAAAAAAAAGAGACTAACCTGTGCAGCGATCAGTCTAGCCTCCAGCGTGAGCAACGACCAGTGAAGAACCCTGTAGGAGCAGCGATCGAGTCTAACGTGAGCAGCGAAGAAATCTGTCAATGCACAGTGAAGAAATCTGTCAATCGAGTCCAGCGTGAGCAACGATATGTAGGAGTCCAACGTGTGCAACGATCTGATTTAAATTAGGGTTTGGATTGTATTTATTTGATAAGGGGATGATTCGATGTATCATATCTTATAAATTTTTTTCCAATTGTCCAATCCAACGGCCCAAATTAAAAATAAAATATTTCGCTTCTAATAACAAAAACGGTCGCTTTTTCGCCTAGCACTTTAAGCGTTAGGCGAACGCTTTTCTCGCTTAGTTCACGTTCGCTTCGCCAGGCGAGATAGCCTCTCCTCACTTCTCTTCGCTTCTCGCCTAGGCGAGCACTTTTCACAACACTGATTCAAGTAATATCTTTCAAGGTGTTTGGGAATTTCTCGAGGTGTTTCAGTACGTTTCGACCAATGATACGAAATATTTGAGGTATTTCAAGATATTTTGATATATTTCGAAATATTTTAAAAATAAATCCCCAAATTATTATTCATTTACATTTTGTTTCTAAAATGTTTTCTAAACATTTTCGTTTCCTATACAACCGAAATAATATCAATTTTACCTGGATCGTAGGTCGCTTTGGTACGTAGTACGAGCACAGATACATGGTACAACACTTTCTTAGGGATGCGGTCCGATAGAGGTTGGTTTAGCATTTTGGGTCACCATTCATTATGAAACTATTATGTAGAACATTTTCACTACTATACAATATTGTATATTACAAAACATTTAAAAATACAAAGTTAGTTACCATTTATCTTATAGTTGTGCTTGATTTTTTATTATCTAAAACAATATATAATTATAAATCCATATACATGTAGTCAATTAATATGTATTTTATATTTGTACTGCATGTTCTAAAGCGAATTAATTTAGGGTTAGTATTACAATTTGGGACCGTCCATTTTGAAGATCTGGATCGTGAACCCACCTCATTTGGGATTGATGTACCCAAATCGTGGGTCGTTAAGAGTTTAGTGAATTGCGGTAACTCAAAATAATATAGTAGAAAACAATATTTTTATCCTTGCTCCAAAGCATCTCGAAAACATAAACCAAAACAATAAAAAGAAAAGTCTACAAATAAAGAACAAAGGAACAGACAGAAAAGCCACTCCGATAAAACCTATGAAGCACAGATACTTTGTCAAAGTCGACGTACTCGTATCGGATATGATAGTCGTCGAATACTCGATGATACGTATCGGATACGCATCATCCTTATCCAATAATTAATAAAATATGTGGATACTTCGCGGATACTTCTAAACATAAAACAAGATGTACAATTTTCAATTTTAAGCTATACCCCTTCTTTAGAGTTCACATACAATATAAAACATCAACAAAATTCCATCTGATTTTGAAGACACGAGTGTTTTTTAAGTATTACCTATTATTATATGTTAAGAGGGTATAAAAAAAATGAGTCACTTACACTATACTTTTAAAAATAAATAATTGTAAAACTAACTAGTTAAATGTTGTTATAATTCTTTTAATTTGTCATGCTCATTTTATGAACATATCATGATGAGACGATATTACAACCTTTTCATGGTAAAAATTTCTAATTATACTAACTAATGTTAAAGAATTATTGAAAATTGTAATTCCTAAGTCGTTAAATAATAGTAAAATATTAAATATATTTTATTATAGACGTATCCTGGCTGAAATTTTGTCGTATCATCGTATTCATATCGAATTGTACCCGTGTCACGTATCAGTATCCGTATCCGTGCTTCCTAGATGAAAACATATGGAACAAAAATCTGGTCCGCAAAAAAAATAAACCCAAGGATAATAACACCTTCAGACGAAGTCAGCACCAGGAAATGACAGAAGAAAAGTAAGGAGTATAACAACCATGAACATAAATTGCAGTCAGCTTAAAATGTGCACACCTAATACCATTATCACAGAAAATACAGTTGCCAGCCTCATTGACTTCACACAAACAACAAATTAAAATAACACCAATACCAATGATATTCTTAACACAATCAAACTTGGAAAAATTTCCAATTGCATCCAAAAGTAGATGTACATAACATGCCTCTGTAAGTTGATGCACTTGCAAATGCAAACCTGCTTCTGTCTTTCGCCACTCAACTTCTTTCTTACACCAGTCAGCACCCTGCACATACAAGTAAAAAATTTGTAGATACCAACAAGGAGTGGAAACTGGCACCTAGGAAGAATGATAATATTGTCAATCATGTGTATCAGAAAAGAAACCATGTGACAAATAAGAGTCTGTCACACACACACACGCACCAAATAAAACAATGTGAAACAAGCAGAAGCTTGGGTAAGTGGTATGCAAGAAGCTCAAGTTTGGAAGCAATAACAAACAGTAGAAGGGCCACCCGAAGATTGCTCAAAGTCGGAGTGTTTTCATATCATAATTTGCATATGAAACATCATTCAACAAAAAAAAAAAAAACAAGAAATCCAAAGAGTAAATTAACCAAACCAACTAGGTTAACCTAAAATAAAATTAGGGATCTGCAATAAGGAAATTGATCAATAGGTTTTATATCATTAAAACTTCAAACACTGGAAAGTCACCAAAAAGAATATAATTCATGACAGAGACAATTGTAGGAAATAGAATTGATCAGCTTCAAATTTCAGGAAACTGATTGTGTCAGACATTGTTGGAAGTGAAAGAACTTGTTAAAACAAAAGTATGACGAGTGAAAACCACTTACGAAAAAAATGAGTCATGCTCATCTAGGTCTATAATGCAAATGTTAAATTTGCAGTTGTATTGCCTAGATTTTTCTTACCATCTTCTCAAGAGAAGCACATTTAGCTTCAAGTGATCGAACTTTCTGCAACAAGATTTTGACACGATTAAAAAAATGTCATAGGTTTCTTTTTAAATTGTAGACTACAAACCACTTATGACCTTTTGTAATTCTTCATTAACAGCCACAATCTGCGATGCATAAAGTACTCGAACATCCTTCAACGCGCACTTGCTGTTGCATTGAGGACACTAAATGCCAAGGGAGGAAATCAGAAGTTCAGGAAATAAGTAAATAAATGTGAATTAACCAATTTAAAACAAGGAGATAATGGATAATGAACAGTACCTTCCCTGAACTTCTACGTTGTTGTAACCCATCTCTTGATACAAGACATACCATATATGTGGCCACAA